GTTTATCTTGAGCAGTGTAGATGTGTTCAAATAATATCTGAGTTGATAGATCATCGAGCAAGATTTGGCTGCCTGTTTCAAAGTGTTATCGATGTGTGTTTTCAAATTTAATTTTTTCGTCAATTATTAGTCCTAAGTACTTATGGGATCTATTTTTACAGAATTTATATCTGTTAATTTCTAAGGCGGCTGTTTTGTTCTTGTTTACATTAAGCTTATTCTCCAAAAACCATTATTCAACATTGCTTGTATCAGAATTCACCTACTGCTGATTTCCTGTTTCAGTTGTTTTATACAATGTGCAATCATCAGCAAACAGTAAAATTTTATTATGCCAACAGACGTTTGGCAAACTGTTGTTATACAGCAAAAACAACAAAGGACCCAAGACTGAACAATGTCGTACACCATAGTAGATTGTTTTAGTGTCTGATATTGAATTGAATTGTTATAATAAACGTACTGTTCACGGTTTTCAAGGTATGACCTCATATGATCTGTAAATTTACCACGTAAACCGTATAATTTGCAATTTTTCAGTAATATTTTGTCATCAATTGTGTCGAACGCTTTTACAAGATCTATCAGCGTACACACGGAGCCAACATTGTCTTCTAAACTCTCCACATTTTGATCACTGAGTTCGAAGATAATATCAGCTGTTTTTTTTATTTCGGAATCCGTTCTGACTTGCTGTTAATACACCATATTTTTTCAGAAAACTTCTCAAGCGATTTTAAATAAAATTTTTGATAATTTTCCCCATAAATAATAAAAAAAGATATAGGGTCTGTACTTACCACAATCTGACAATGTGCCATTTTTTTTGAATTGGTTGAACTTTTGCAACCTTAAAAATTGAAGGATAATAACTCTACAGATTCATTGAAAAGGCAACTCAGTAGATCAGATATAACCGGACCTATTTTTTAGGTTGTTACTTTGGTTGTAACTACCAAGGCTGTTTTTTTTCTGCAGGCTTTTAAATACTTCATAAACTCTTTGGGGTGAAATGGTTTGAAAAATCATTATATTTTTATTATCCACAACATTTAAAAAACAATTTTGTGTTGTTTCAGTTTCGATTAGCTTCTGACCAATTTCAATAAAAAAATCATTCAATTCTTCTGCACTCGGAATGTTGTGTTTTGAAATCACTTGTTCTTCTTTTTTTAATCTCACCTATGACTGTTTAAATAAGTTTCTAACTTTTATGGCTCTTGCTTTCAATTCTTCTCTCAAAAAAACTTTTTTGATTTTCGACGCAAGCTTTTCAATTTTTTTTTGAATTAAAAATTTTGATCGGTCGCTGGATTTTAATCCCCCAACAACCACCGCAAAAAAAAATCTCAATTCGCATTGTTTTTAATCCTCCCAATTAGCAACTCAAGACCGAACATTTTTGTCTGGTTTTTAAAAAATTAAAGCCATGAAGCTCCAATCAAACTGCGATGTTGCTTACCTTTGTTTTTCTTGGCATTACGAGGCCAAACGTTGGGTCTTTATATTCCTTGATTCCAGAAATAATTCTTTGAACATGTTAAATTTAGTTGGAACAATGAAAGAAAATGAAAGAACAAAAGAAGAACAAAAGGGAGCGTCCTTGTTACAGAATCCTCTTACATTTTCACAAAAGGCACAGATTGGCCTCGTAATGGAAGTGAAGAACAATTTTTTGCTGTATTTGCACTCTTTTCATTTTCTACAAAATTGAGCAAGTTTGATGCTTTTCATGAAGGGGTTTTTGAAACAAATCTTTCGGGTTGGAAAAAGTTATTTAAACTGGAGCTAGAACTTCAATCAATTGTTTTGTATTACTAGGTAGTATGCTTTGGTTTTTGTGTGGCGTGGCTTGAAAATGTTCATATTGTTCAGCGTTTTTTCTTCTAATCCAAGTATTTTGAGAGGCAAAAACTGACTAAGAAGTTTTGGCTGAATCCGATCATCAGTTTCCGAAAAGTTTCCGATTATTACGGTAGCGCTTGAAGAAGCTTGCATTAACTCTTGTCTCCAAAATTTACTGCTCTCCTTGATCGATTTCCAGTATATTGTTTCATGTAAGATCCTAAGAAGGTCTTTAAAAAAGCCATCAGCTTTAGTATGCCTTCAAAATATGTTAAGTTTTAATGGCACAAAAACGACAAAAAAATTGAGTTGTATGACTAGCAGAATTACTTGTAGCGGCTAAAACAAAAATCATGATTATTAAACAAATTGTACAGATTTTTATTCTCTAAAAAATTCAAAACTACTGCGAATATTTCCAGAATTTGTTTTTGTCTTTGTTGAATTTAAGTGGGTGAATTTTGTTGGTTAACCATTATATTTCATTGGAGCTGTCAAATTGAGCTGCTCTATTTGACCTGGTTGACCTCAAAGGATGTGGCAGTTTGACCTCTTGTGTCTCGCTTTTTGTCTTTGCCACTCCCAGTTAAAGCTACCCAAGTGCAAGTGGAGATTGCACTCAATGATGTGTTTGAGGAATCGGGAAAAGCTGGTCTAAAATAGCAAAAGTACCCCAAATTGTTTATATATTCATCGATTTCATACAATGATTTGTTTTCTGAAGTAACAATTCTTGCGGCTAAACGAATCATAGCATAGAAAATTGTTCAAACTGGTCTCACAAAAAAAGTTGAACGTTTATAAAAATCAAAAAATGCTGGTTTTTATTTTAAAAAATCTGATTTAATCTGATTGAGAAGAAATTAAAGCTTACTGGGTACACTGAGTTTTCAACAATTTGCTGGAAATTTTAATAGGTTATTTTGAGGCGATTTTTCACTAGGCGTTTTTCAAAAAGGCAATTTTTCAAGAGATTTTAAAAGACTTGATTTTGAATGTGGATCCAGCGATACAATTTAAATCAATTTTCAAATAGTTTTACAAATGGTTTCTTTCAACCAGTTCTTCGTCTACTCGTATCAAGTGAAAAAGTTGTGATTTGAAATTTATAATTTTTTTATAATAACACTATTTGATATTTTTTAGGGTTGCTCAGGTGAAAACGTATGTCGCAAGATATTACCTCCAACCCCCACCCCCCCCCCCTACCTCCCCTCCTAAATCCACTCGCAACTCACTTATTGATGATACAAACACTGATAGTTCGTTGAAACTACAAACTGCTTTTGGTTTCTAATTTGTGCTCGAGCAAAAGAAAATTTTTGATTCGATTAAATTTAATTAGCTAAATCCATTGGCAAGGGAGTTACTAAAACCTTCAAATTTTGGGCTCGTTAAGGCTCCCTAAAAATTATTTTGCCTGGTTCCTAAAACAGTGTTTTATTTCTTTGTGTGTTATTTTTTTCAAAGCATTATTCCGTTTTTATCGGATTTTGAAATTATTAAAAATAGCAAAACAAACAGTAACTTTTTACGGTTTCGAACTTAAAAGAGAAAGACGGAACACTTGTGCAGGGGAGCGTTTTCCTCCAGAAAAGCTTAGATTTTTTATTTGTGAATTTCAACCAAATTTTTATTCGTTTTGAAAACTATTGATGCTAATGTATACAATGCCGATTTAACTTATCCGGATAAAACGCATGTGAAAATTAAAACGCGATTCCCTCAAATTGTGTTGATTTCAGACAAGAAATGATGAAAATCAAACTTGCTTAGATTTTTAGCAGAATAAATAAGGAGGAAATTGTTTTTCGAAATTCCGGCCCAATATTTTACCCCAAAATGGATCATTTTATGGCTGCTTTAATCAATCCAAAACTACGCTAAAACTACCGGTCAAAAACTGAAATAATTTTATCAGACGGATCATTTTATAGACAAGAACAAACTTTAAAAAGAGTGTTATCTCGAAAAAATTGACGAAAACGAATTTTTAAAATTGTGTCCATATCAAACAGTGGTTTTTTTTCTATAGTAAGAAAGACACTTCTTGTTAATCAAACAAAAAAAATCAATTTTTACATTTGCTGGGAAATTATACCTTTTTTAAACTTTCTCGGAGCGTAATTTTGGATTCAATAAAAAGCCAAAAAATAGTTCCTTTTTTGGATAAAATTTTAGGCCTGAATTTTGAAAAGGAAACACCACCTTCAATGTGAAATCAAACTATTCACTGGATATGCGCCCAATTTTGTTTGTGTTTACTGGATTCCAGAGACAAATCTTTAAAGTTGTTAAAATTTTGTCGGATTGATAAAAAAACGGAAGAACAAAAAAAACAAAGAAAGCTTACAATTCACAAAATACACAATTTGACCTCATAATGTTATTGATTCTGCTAAAATATTAAGTATATTTTGTTCTCAATGATTTTTGTTTAAAGTCAGCACAGTTTGAGAGAAGAGCGTTTTAATATTCAAGTTTTATTTTTATTCTAATGTTTTCAATCCGTTTCTGAAGAAGTCGGCAAATTTTCAAGCTTGGATTAATTTTTTTTTCAGTCAAAATTTCACTTTTCAACTAGATTTTTGACCAAAACTTTTACCATCTGCAATATATCGCTCCTTGGAAAAATCGTTTTTTATGATTTCTTCTAATTTTTGTGGTATTAAAAAAAGGACTACTTTAACCACAATAATTCAAAAAGAGATATTTTTTTCCATTCTAAATTGAACTGATTTCAATCTTTTTTGCGTTCTCATTACAGTGCAAAACGCCATATACCTCCTTTGTATAAAATATAGCTTGGGCAATAAAACGAAAAAAGTTTTAATCTTTCAGTTTATCAACTATTTCATTCCTTGTTCGTAGCATTTTTTTCCAGCCTGAGGAGCGTTTGGGACACTTTGACTGATTTGATAACAAGCAGTCGTGTCTAGTCTTTGTTTTAGGAGGGTAAAAACCAAAATAGTCAGTTCCAGTTGAGCACTTTAAGTGCACTTTTACAAATTATCCAACGCGTATGATTGGAAATCAACAAATTCAGCCGCCGTTGTAAAAATGACCTAGAAAAAAAAAACAAAAAAAATTAAAGATGGTTACAATTTTTCGTTGCAACCTGACAAAATTTTTATCTCGCGGAACTTTCTAGATTTGAAAAATTTTAAAACATTTTTTCGCCGATTTGTTACATCTTACTTTTTGAGGAGAAGGTTAAGAAATTTCGAATGATCGTTGTTAGTTCAAGAATTTTTGCTCTCGCAAAAATTTAAATTCTGTATCAACGCCCAACGCATGCGACGACTTATCATTTGACTGAAACTAAAAAATGGGTGGCACCATTTTTTCCGGTACAAAACAACCTCACCCGCATGTTCAAATTATACACACACTTCCTCAAGGGGGATGGGGGGCTTCAGAGCAGCCGGCCCACTCCGGGTCTCAAAAAGATACAATGATCTGAATAGTTCATATCAATAAACTCCGGCTTTTCAACTGGCATTTTTTACGTTTTTTTTTAAAACCAATCTAATAGATATTCATGCCCACAGCTCAAACTTAGAAATATTTTTCAAGTGTGATCTTTTTTTTTGAAATCATAATGCGTGGAGCTTGGCAGATAATTTGACGGCTATAGTTCAAATTGAGACACTTCGCGCGCAATATATTTTTCCAGCCTGAGGAGCGGTTGGGACACTTTGACTGATTTGATAAACAGCAGTCGTGTCTAGTCTCTGTTTTAGGAGTGTAAAAACCAAAATAGTCAGTTCCAGTTGAGCACCTCAAGTGCACTTTTACAAATTATCCAACGTGTATGATTGGAAAATAACAAATTCAGCCGCCGTTGTAAAATTTACCTAGAAAAAAAAACAAAAAAATATTAAAGATGGTTACAATTTTTTGTTGCAACCTGACAAAATTTTTATCTCGCAGAACTTTCTAGATTTGAAAAATTTTAAAACATTTTTTCGCTGATTTGTTACATCTTACTTTTTGAGGAAGAAGGCTAAGAAATTTCGAATGACTGTTGTTAGTTCAAGAATTTTTGCTCTCGCAAAAATTTAAATTCTGTATCAACGCCCAACGCATGCATGCGACGACTTATAATTTGACTGAAACTAACAAATGGGTGGCACAATTGGCATTTTTTACATTTTTTTTAAAAACCAATCTGATAGATATTCATGCCCAGAGCTCAAACTTAGAAATATTTTTCAAGTGTGATCTTTTTTTTTGAAAAAAAAAAACGCGTGGAGCTAGGCAGATAATTTGACGGCTATATATTTCGTCTAAGCAGTAAAAACTAAGCGCCAAAATAAAATTTTAAATTTGGCTCAGGCAAGTCATTTGTTGTTCTGACTATCGATATTTTTGCTGGGGTGGTTTTTTCTCAGACAAATTTGGGTTTCTTAAGCAGCAATTTTTTCTCAGACTGCTGGGGTGGTTTTTTCTCAGACAAATTTGGGTTTCTTAAGCAGCAATTTTTAAGGTAAATAGAAAAATATTGTTTTTCTGAGCTCAATCTCATTAATACTTTTCACCATCAATCATTTTTCTTCGTCTTAGAAATTGTTCCTAATTGAATTCATACGAGCTATTTGATCTAGATTTTACCTTGCGAAACATAACATTTTGCTCTTACCATAGCGCGTGGAGTGATGACTGTCAAAAAAAAATTTTTTTAAAACTTTTTCCTTTTTTTTTGAAAAATCTGTCCATTTTGCTGGAGTGCAAACTTCTTCAAAGACTTTAAAAGGCAGTCAGAACTAAATTAATTAAATTTATTTTTATTTTCTAGCCAAAACTTATAAGCATACATTCTACGAAAATGTACGTCTATAATTAACTTCGGCTCGGAGAATACCAAAAAGGCATCAGCCTGTCGGATGGCATCTCCTTGAGCAAAATCTATTCGCCTACTTCTTAAACTAAAATCATATACCAAAAAACCGCAAAATTGCTTCAAATATCACAATAAAAAACTAAATGAGAAAAAAAACTGTTTGCTTTGTTGTTGTCTAACAATCAAATTAAAATTAGCAAAAATACTATAACAAGGGGTTGAAAGTTATCATAACATACTTAGAAAAAATTTCTTGTCACAAATATATATACGAAACCTATTTTTGATTTTCTTTTTTGCTCTTGTTAAAGCTTATTTCGCCTGCGAATTTTTTGTGTTGTTTTGCCTGTTTTGTTAGTATCTTTTATCTCCTGTTCACTTATTTTTTCATGAAGTTTTTTATATCCACACGATTGTCTAATAACTTTAATCATGAGTTTAAAAATCTCATAAACATGTAACTCCCGAACCAAACAGAGTTTATGTTTGTCAGGAAATTGTTCAGACTTTCCTATTTTTAATTTTGAAACAGTTACTCCACACGAGTCTTCGCTTGTTTTCAATCTTCTTATATCAGTCTTATTAGGTCTGCCATATATCAGTACACTATAATGATATATTGGTTGAATATGCGTTTTGTTTATCTTGAGCAGTGTAGATGTGTTCAAATAATATCTGAGTTGATAGATCATCGAGCAAGATTTGGCTGCCTGTTTCAAAGTGTTATCGATGTGTGTTTTCAAATTTAGTTTGTTCGTCAATTATTAGTCCTAAGTACTTATGGGATCTATTGTTACAGAATTTATATCTGTTAATTTCTAAGGCGGCTGTTTTTTTCTTGTTTACATTAAGCTTATTCTCCAAAAACCATTATTCAACAATGCTTGTATCAGAATTCACCTCCTGCTGATTTCCTGTTTCATTCAGTTGTTTTATACAATGAGCAATCATCAGCAAACAGTAAAATTTTATTATGCCAACAGACGTTTGGCAAACTGTTGTTATACAGCAAAAACAACAAAGGACCCAGGACTGAACAATGTCGTACACCATAGTAGATTGTTTTAGTGTCTGATATTGAATTGTTATGAAAAACGTACTGTTCACGGTTTTCAAGGTATGACCTCAAATTATCTATAATTTTACCACGTAAACCGTAAAATTTGCAATTTTTCAGTAATATTTTGTCATCAATTGTGTCGAACGCTTTTATAAGATCTATCAGCGTACACACGGAGCCAACATTGTCTTCTAAATTCTCCACAAGTTGTTCACTGAATTCTAAGATAATATCAGCTGTTTTTTTATCTCGGAATTTGTTCTGACATGCTGTTAATACATCATATTTTTGCAGAAAACTTCTCAAGTGATTTTAAATAAAATTTTCGATAATTTTCCCCATAAATAGTAAAAAAAGATATAGTATCTGTATTTACCACAATCTGACAATGTGCCATTTTTTTTGAATTGGTTGAACTTTTGCAATGTTAAAAATTGAGGGATAATATGACAACTCTACACATTCATTAAAAAGGCAACTCAGTAGATCAAATATAACCGGACCTATTTTTTTTTAGGTTGTTACTTTGGTTGCAACTATCAAGGCTGTTTTCTTTCTGCAGGCTTTTAATTACTTCATAAACTCCTTGGGGTGAAATGGTTTGAAAAATCATTGTATTTTCATTATCCACAACATTTAAAAAAAAAATTTTGTGTTGTTTCAGTTTCGATTAGCTTCTGACCAATTTCAATAAAAAATCATTAATTTCTTCTGCACTCCGAATGTTGTGTTTTGAAATCACTTGTTCTTCTTTTTTGTAAATCTCACCTATGACTGTTTAAAAAAATTTCTAACTTTTATGGCTTTTGCATTCAAGTCTTCTCTCCAAAAAACTTTTTTGATTTTTGATACAAGCTTTTCAATTTTTTTTGTTGTTGCTGGAATTAATCAAGATTACAATCACTCTTATTGTTCGAATATTTTTTGTACAATTTAATCTTCTTAATACTCCCATTTTTAATTTTAGCAGTTATCCAACTTTCCCTATTTTCATTGATTAGGAGCTTAGGAATGAAATTTCACAAGCAGACTGAATAGCTATTTGGAGCTGTGAGAATCAACCATTTACACCTTCAGTATCTTTTTTCAACTCATTTTTTTCAATGGTCTGCCACAGCGCAAAATTGAACTTCAGCAAAGTCTCACTTTTCCCTGTTTGGTCTAGTGTTGTAAAAACACAGAACTAGACCAAAATGTTTCACTTGGGACATATCACATAGTGAATTGGAGATCAATAAAGGAAACAACCGTTTTGTAATTCAATTTTTTGTATAATTTTTAGCAGAGCCGCAAAAGGGCAATTAGCAAAGCGGAGCTCGAATCATTAAGCAAAGCCGACTTAGAGGGAGAGCCGAGCTTTGACCTGAAACGAGCAGTCTTGTTGTAATTGTTGGCAATAACCATTTCGAAAAAAAAACAATTTCAATAGTTTCTTCTCGAATCAGTTACAAAAATGAGTATGTGTCGAAACTTTTTTGTTATCACCAGCACCTAATAATTTTATTTTTTTTTCTTTATTTATCAGAGGTGCACTAAAACAATAGGTAAATTTTAGAGAGAAAAATGCTTTGCAGATTCATTTCCACCGAGTCCTTTGAGTTAAGCTATGAATTAATTTTATCCAGACTTTTGTTAAGAATTTGATTATGATTTTGTTATCAATGATAGATAGAACCTTGTACTGTTCCATGTCCCCCCTGTCGACCAGAGTGGAATTGAAGAGGGGAAGAAAGAGAGACACTGCATGTAGAGTTTCCTCCCACCCTTGAGCACTTTCTTTGTTCACACAACTGCCGATCAGAAGTGTGTCCACTGCCGAGTTTGTACCGAGTGTTTCTAAAAAAAAAAACAATTTTACTTTGTTAATTTGTTAATTTAGTCCCCCCCCCCATTGGAAGTTCAAAACTTCATCCAAATTTAAAAAAGCCGTTCGGAAGCCTAGAGTAAAATAAGAACTTTAGAAATCGAGAACCGCGAAAAAAAGATAAGACAGGTTAATAAAAAATCAAAAAAAAAAATCGTTTTTTTTTATAAGTTACCAACATTTTTAACCAAACTTTTTTGGAACAAAATTTTAGTTCACCTATTTCTGAACGGCATTGAATTGATTAGTTTAGCGGCCTGCCATGCCATTCCGTGCTTATAATTCACTGCATCGGATAAATTGAATCTTGAAGAATCGTTTGGGAGGGAGAGCTAGAAAAAAATCAAATTGGTCGACCAAGAAAAAAGTAGCGAAAGTTTTTTGAAATCCGCCCCTACCCTCAAGAAAATCTATATTCATCAAATCATTTTGCCTTAAGTCAGAAACTTAGCCAGTGGCGCACGCAGTTTTTTGTTGGCTCTGTGGTTCTCATTTCTGAAAATAATTCAGTGGCGTTTTATAGAAGCGTCATTTCACTTTTTTGATATCTATAGTAATATCAAATTTTCAACTATTGAAATTGAAATATAGAGTAAAAATAAGAACTCTAGAAATCGAGAACCGCGAAAAAGATAAGACAGGTTAACAAAAAATCAAAAAAAAATCGTTTTTTTAATAAGTTATCGACATTTTTAACCACACTTTTTTGAACCAAAATTTTAGTTCACTTATTTCTGAACGGCATTGAATTGATTAGTTTAGCGGCCTGCCGAGCCATTCCGTGCTTATAATTCACTGCATCGGATAAATTGAATCATGAAGAATCGTTTGGGAGGGAGAGCTAGAAAAAAGTCAAATTGGTTGACCAAGAAAAAAGTAGCGAAACTTTTTTGAAACCCGCCCCTACCCCTCAAGAAAATCTATATCCATCAAATCATTTTGCTTTAAGTCAGAAACTTAGCCTGTGGCGCACGCAGTTTTTTGTTGGCTTTGTGGTTCTCATTTCTGAAAATAATTCAGTGGCGTTTTATAGAAGTGTCATTTCACTTTTTTGATAACTATAGTAATCTTCAATTTTCAACTATTGAAATATATCAAAGTAAATATCGTAAAAATTGGTTTCTGAAAAAAAGTTACAATTTGGGCTTTTTTTTAAACAGAACTCCAGTACTCACACTGGAAGTGCTGCAAATTTACAGCCCGCACTGAAAGAAATGGATTAGGATCAATGTTAGTATAAAAAAGAATGCAGATTAAATTTAGATCAATTTTACTATGAAAAAAAAAAAGAAAAGATAACGATTGATTTGAATCAGTTTTAAATCTATTTAAATCTATTTAAAATCCCAGTTAATAAACACTCTAATTAAATTTTAATTCAATTTAAATCCATTTGATCCAGTCCTACTTTGTTTTTTTATTTTTAAGGGGACTAAAACGTATTAAAATGAAAAAAAAAATCTTTTTTTTTAACTTCATTAGTTTTGAATTTGCGTTGCATTTATTCATTGCCCATCTTTTTTCATTTTACATCCATAGCCTATTGTAGCATAACAAAAAGACCAAAGAGTTTTCAAAACATTAATATCATTCTATGATTCCTGTGCACTTTTTGAGTTCATTTCTTTTCATAAAATTTTACCTTCATGATTTTTAGTGATTTAATTGCATATTCTTGAGATCAAAATATGATTACTGTTTACTCTTTTCTCGATTTGTTACATAGATTTTTGCCTATAATCTGATTTACAATGATAATTTTCTATAACTTTAATGCGTTTTTTCGTGCTCAAATGTTTTCGCCGTGCTAGCAAAAAAGTTTTTGTGAGTCTGATAATCCATCCAAATCGGTTTAAGTCGAATTTTGGACCCTTAAATCGATCCAAAATTTTTATGAAAGATGAATTCAAATCGATTTAAATCCAGTTAAGCTTGTAAAATGTACATTGTTAATCAATTTATATCTAATTAAAATCGATTTAAAATCAATTTAAATCGACCGAGAACCATTTTCGTCAGTGCGGTAAAAAATGAACTATTTAAAATTGAAAATCGTTGATGCTCGTTACACCAATAACGTCTTGGGAAGAATGCACAAAATCACTTGTCTTTGGCGCCCTTTGGCGCCCAAGTATACCAGCTGAAGTATAATTCAGCCAAAAATACATAAATGTTAATAGTTATGTAACAACTATGCAACGATTAAAAAATTTATGCAAATTTTACTGATACGGCGTAAATTTTTGGCTGGCTTATATACTCCGCACATTTTTGGTTAGTTTATACCTTGGCTGGTTTTTTACTCTCATATTGAAGCATAGTTTTTTAAGATGTAACCTTTAATGACAGAGGGTAGGTAGTATTGGGCTGAGAAGTCATCGGCATCGAAGAGGACGATGAAGCCATGTGGCATTGTGGACGACATCTGCACTTTGCTGCTGTGGCTACAAGACAGGTCGAACGACTACAACATTTTAGAGAATTATTTTGAATTACCCCCTGCTCCTTCACCTCAATCTATCGTACCCTACCCCCTGTCAGTTTGGGGGGGGGGGGCTTTAAAGTCTGCAGGGGTGGGGTATAGTGGGAGGGGTTGTTCGAAGGGACAAGTGTTTACGGTATTTTTCACGTATTTTTACGGTTAATGTGATTCAAAAAGAAAAATAATGGAAAACAACTCAATTTTTTTTTTGCTGTAGCCAAATGTAAAACACAATTTAGTGATTGCAAGAATCTGGTTTTGAATATCTATTTTAAAGTTTTGGAAAATCTAGGCTCTTACTCATTAGAAGTTATTACAATCCACCATAATTTATTATAGTCCATAACAATCCATTTTATTTGAATATAATGAATTACAATGATCTCTATTTAACTGTTTTATAATCGATTAGTTTTGCTTTTTATGGAGACAGACCATGAAAATTCATGATAATCAATTATTATCCATTGAATCTCTTAGCGGGTGGTCAATTAATAGGCGATTATAATCTCTCTCTTTAGAGTTATATTCTATCCAATTATAACACATTTTAATCGATCATAGTTGATTATTAATCAATCTGTTTTTCGATTCAATAATAATCGATTATATTCGATTGTTTTAATCGCAATTTCTAATTTGTTTATTATGCACAAAAATCCATCTTCCACCCTTTTCAAAGACGTTGGCTTATGTGAAAAGCGGAAAATCGTTTTAGCAGTTTTCCAATCAATTGAAAGTTTTTTTTTTTCATTTATTCTCGACTAGTCTTGTATCATGATGCCGTACAATCAATTACTGAAGACTGAACTTGGTCTCACGAAGACATTTTGGGTATCCCTCTAAAAACAGAAGTTTTATCCCATAAACTACCCACAAACGGGGGAGGATATTCACCTGTTTCTAGATTGGATTTTTTAGCCAATCAGAATCGAGCATTTTTGCATGCAGCGCTTAGCAAATTTAGTACAAATTGGATGCTGGGGTGGAACATTTTAATTTGGTAACTTTGGGAGGGGGGGGGGGGGGTTGTTGTTAACTTGGCCTCAGATGCGTACAATTCTGTTAGTGGGTGAGAGTGAATCGATAGTTGTGTAACTGGAAGGACTGGCAGGCAGACTCCTCCTCCTAATCGAGAAGTGGCGTCTGAATTCCGTCAGTCTCATCTGCTGCAGATTCACTTTATAACGAACACCTGAAGTAAACCAAAAAATTAACAACAATTTCCGACTATGTTGCTCATCCATTTTATACTTTTTTTATAAATAACAAGACTGCTCGTAAATGAGGTCAAAGTCTTTTGCTTGAATGTTCCGACTGCCTCTAATTTAGTCTCGAATAATTTCTCTTGAACAATACACTTTGTACTGTCAATGAAAAAACTTAGTGGCAAAGTTTGAGTGGAACAAACATAAATATTCCATTCCGCGCTTAATTTGACAGCCAGAGCACTTAAAATGACCAATTAGTTGGCCTCAAATCATTTGCGGGCTTCTAATTTGTCAGGCATGAAAATCTGGTGTCCTACAATTTAATGACATACAATTTAACACCGTACATTTTAAAACTTAGTCATTTCACTACTAAACAATTTAAATCGACAACAATATAACTCCTATTTTCCAGTTTAACACAGTACATTTTAACACCTAGTCATTTCACTATTAAAATTAATGCTTTATGAATTCCTTATCTTAACTCTTATCACACCAAAGTTAATCCTGCAATTAACACACGCACCATAATGAAAAACTTGGTTTATCTTAGTTATACATGCTAAAAGGAGGCTTCCCAATTTACCTAAGACTCTTATCTACAGGTTTGTAATTTATTTTCAATTAGACTTTTCGCTAAACCTTTATGATTACTGAAAAAGCTGCTTGTGCTAATTCAAAACAATTTGCCGTAAAAATTCTGACAAAAATTAAATTCTGACAGTCACTTTATACTTTACTCAAGTGATAAACAAACGCAAACAAAATAAACACATTATGACTGAGTCTTCTTTCGAGTTCACAGTTTCATCTAAAAACAAGCCAATTCTTATAGCGTCCGGCCATGAATTTTATTTCAAGCGAAAAAAGAAGTTTACAGAAAACTGGATTTGCTCAAAATATCAAACACATAAATGTCGAGCAACTGCCATTACTGAAAGTAACGAATTAATCGAGACGCGTGGAGAGCATAACCACGACATTTCAGCGGGAAAATCGGAGGCCCGAAATGTCATAAAGCATATAAAAGATCTCAGCGAGAGATTTACCCCGACTGTTGCAGTTGCCAGTGCGGTTTTGCCAATTACCAACAATTTGGCTACTCAGTTTGCTCTCCCAAGTAAAGACAAACTGATCCGAACGGCTGCTCGCACTCGTAAGCAGCTAGATGTAAATATGCCGCCCATCCCCGTTGCGCGAAATTTCGAGATCCCTGAAATTTTCGAAAATTTTATCCGGTATGACAGTGGATCAAATGATCATGAGCGAATCATTTTGTGCGGCGACCCCAAAATGCTGAGAGTTCTGGAGAAGTCATCTTTCTGGTTAGCCGATGAAACTTTCAAAATTACTCCAAAAATGTTCTATCAGCTTTATTCAATTCATGTTAGTGTATCTGGCATTGCGCCAGCTTGCATTTACGCCTTCCTCCCTAACAAAACCGAAAAAACCTACAATCGCTTCCTGCAGGCGTTAATTGATTTAGCACCCAACTGCCGGCCTGAAAAATTTTTGTTAGATTTTGAGCAAGCTGCTCTTCAGTCCTTCCAAAAAACATTCCCCGAAGCACCTTTATCGGGTTGTTTTTTTCATCTCTCCCAGAGTTACATGAGAAAAATTAATGAATTGGGTCTGAAAGTGACCTACGAAACAAATCACGAATTAGTGCTGGCTTTAAAAATGCTGCCATCCCTTGCATTTGAAAAAAAAGAAAAGATCGGCGATTCCTATGACATGATTGTTCAAGAAATTCAAAATGTATGCGACAGAAATTGCTTAGAACCCGAGAAAATAGAGAAAATTGACGAGTTGTGTCTGTACTTCGGCTCTACTTATATAAAAAGCTTGGTGTCAAACCGTGAAGTTTCATTCCCACCCTCCCTTTGGAACCAGCGAGATGCGGCCGTGATGGGGATTGCTCGAACAACAAATGCTGTCGAGGGATGGCATTTCGGGATTCAATCCTATTTCAGCGGAGCCCACCCAAATATGTGGAAAATGGTGGGTAGCCTGCAAAAAGACGCTTCCGTACAAAAACTCAACTTTTTTGATGCATCGAGTGGCCATAAGTTCACAAAAAAGAAAAAGTATCGAGTATTAAATGAAAGAGTACAAAACATAATGTCCGTTTACGAAGACAAAACTGATCTGTACTTTTTCAGAGCGTTATCTAGTTTGTGCTAAACCATTGTAAATTTTATTTCAACTTTGTTTATTCTTTCGTATTATTGAAATTCAAATTTTAATCCTACTGAAATTTATACCAGCTTTTTTTGAAAAGACGTTTCCTTGCAGACTCCCGGAAACGTAACTAAACACAAGAACATGACTCGTGCCTTAGCAATTTATTCCCAGGACAATCGCCCTTATTTTCGGGATGCTAGGTTGGGACTAGGGGCTGGCAAACCCTTTAGCTTTGCGCGTTTATGTTGCTGACAAAAAGAGCTGACAAAGCGATCAGGTCATAAGTTTAAGTTCCAGAATGATTCTAAAAATAATGACTTTAAGGCTTTTGGCATTGGTTAAACCTTTTTTTAATTTCTATACCGGCTGAAAACGTCTAGAAAATCAGGCCATATTAGTCAAAGGACGTCTAATTATTTGCGGGCTTTTGAAGTTCATTGAACTATTGCTTGTTTTTGGTTCATTTTGGAATGATTCATTGAAAATATTGGCAAGGCCATTTCATTTTGGTTTGAAACGTTTCATTGAAATCATTTGCAAGGTTATTTCTATTCAAAACTTACGCGAATTAAGTAGCGCAAATTTGTCTGGCTTTAAATGGCAAAACTTTCTCTCGTTTAATTCTTTGATGGTTACCGAAATCCCCTTTGAAGTAAGTTTTCTTTTCATTTGGATTAAAACGGTGTTAAGTCATAGAAATTGTTTTAAAATGTAGCGATGTTATATTGCTAAGGCAACAAAAAGTAGGGAGTGAAATTGTAGGGTGTTAAGTTGTTTAGATTTAAAAAGGGGGGAACCGAAAATCTCACGTATTAAAACTATCAAATATTAATCGAGCAGTTAGATTAACTACATTTTAGTCTTCTACTATTATACTTGCTTGTTAATCCAAAAGTTTACGGATCGATATCCACGCCCTGTCATCTTTCACAGTATAATTGTTCCGAATAACCTTAAAAATTACTCTAATCATGTGTATTGCTCACTCTTTTTGTTAATCGGATCAACTAGATTGCTCGTATCATGGCGACACATTGAATTTTTCTACTGCCTTTCAACATCTATGGAGTTGCGTTAAAAATTGGCAATGTTAACACTTTTTCAGGTTTTTTAAAATCAATTTTTTAGCCTCAAGCTTTTCAATTTAGTCAAATTTTTGCTTCAGCTCATAGTCTATAGCAAAATTTTACAATCAAGTCAAATCTCTCTCACAGTGTATCAGTAAACAAGAGTAATTTAAGGAGAGTTGCCAGCCGCAAACAGTAAATTTTAGTGCCATTTGCTATCGAAATTTTGAAAGTTTTAGAAAATTGTGGAATAACATACATCGGTTTAGAACTGATTGGAAATGAATGTTAAAACCAAATTGCTCTACAAAACTTGAAGTGATTGTAAAGCTCAAAGCAGAAAATGACCAAAAATGCTGAACAAAAATCGTATTAAGTGGAAAAAATAATAACAAATTCTTCAAATCAAAATTACGAAAAAATTCCCAGAAATCGGCGACGAGTAAAAAGGCAATGGAGGAGTCCGTCGCAATTTTTTTGGCTTAATCAGTCAAGCGAGTTACATTTTTTTGAACAAACATTGAAACTAGAACAAAAACTGATGTTCGTTCGGCAAAGTGATAAAAAAATGTGTTTCAGATGATTGGTAACAAAAACACTTGCATTTGCCTACGAGTGTGGATCAAAAAGTGTACAAATCACGAAAAGCAAAACTAGTTTTTTCGGAATAAAAATTTGATGAAAATTTTTCTGGGTGAAAGTGTGAGGAGTAAAAAAGCACTGCTGGAATCAACCTAAAATATTTTGGGTAAATCACATAAAATCGGGAAAAAACTTATGAAAAACGGTAAGGCTAAGTGAAACACGGGTTGACTCGGCTAAGAGATAAGTTTTTTAACGCAATTTCAAATAAGAAACGAAATTCCCGATGGTAGTTGGAGTTGAGGCAGTGAAAGTCTGAACAAACAAATAAAAGAGATGGAATTTTTCTGAGCCGACAACACAATTGCTTACAACGTGAACCGATCAGAAAAAAACTTTGAAAAACTAAGATTTTCAGACTCAGAATGAAGTCAGCAAAAATTATTTTGATTCGTCAAGCTCAGGAAAAAAACTTTACACATTAAAACAAAAATGAGTACTGCTGTTGATCCAAAGAAGTGATTACTACAATGTGCTTCAGATATTTTTTGTAGAATGAAATCTATTTTTTTTAATGAGAGAGACGTGAGGCTCTAAATGACTGTATAAACAAAAAAAGACAATAAAAATTAGTCTAATCTCTTCAAGCAAACTTTCCGGCCTTGGCCAAAAACTGTAATAAATTTCTTCAGAATAAAATAATGAAAAAACAACTAGAGAAAAGGGATTAATGACTAGAAGACCAAAAATTTTAACCAAAATTTTGCCATTGCCCATGGAATCCAACAACAAACCCTAAAACAATAGTTAACTGAAATCGTGTGTAGCCCTTTTAGTATATGGGATAAATTTCCAGCAAGCTAATTTGGGATATTATTTTCCGAAACTTATCAACTTAAAACCATATGAAAAAGTAACCGATCGCAGAGAAGACAATACAATTTTGCCTAATCTTTAAACGCTATTTTTTGCTATGACCAAAAACTGTAACCAACACAAAAAAAAACAATTTTTTTTTCTTAGATTCAAAGCCGAAAAATGTATAGAAATAGAGTTATGAGGGTGATTTCGTTGTAATTATATGATTACATGTGATAATAACCACTGGCGGTATTTGGTATAAGGGAAATGTATATGTGATTTTCTGGTTAAATATGTTGGCGGTATTTGGGATGCTGGTGGTTTTTAGGATGCGGTCTCCGGCTATTAGTGCATGGGCCAGTGGCAGTTTTAAGACACCTAATAACTCATTTTACTCGCTAGAAGTTATACTGAAACTCGACAATCAGTTTTTTTCCACACTGGGGCACTTTTTGAAAAAGTTTCACTGTCGCTCGAATCACGACTGAAAAGTTTTATTATATGACTCATCACTCTTTTTTTCCGTCGATTAGTTGTGGTACCTGTTTTGTTGGGAAAACGAAAACAAAAAACTTAATCACACCCGAAACCAGAACTCCTCTCTGGTTAATGGTCGGAACAGCAAATAATTCCAGGAAGTATTTCTATATGATACTGGAATCCGCAAAAATGCGGAATCCGTTCACAACTTGCGAAACCCAAGTACATTTTATGAATTCCGGTAGCCATATGCTGATTATCCTTGCACATTCCGCGTCAGCGTAATTTCACATTAACAAATTTTATTATTTGTTCCGGATTCCGCAAACTTTGTTGCGGATTCCGCGAAACCGGCTGTTTTTGGAGCAGTTTGGATTGATACTGTGTTTAGCTATTTGTTCTTGGAACCCAAAACAGCAAAGAAGATCTTAGAAAACTAGCAATGTCGTAGATTGTGCAACAAGTCTGTTTTCGGCATGTCGAGAAACCCACTTACAATTCACAAAATACACAGTTTGGCTTCGTAATGCTAATGATAATTTGGTAAAAAGATAACTACAATAAGTTTCAGAACAGTTTGTCAAAAAAAACTAAAATCTCAATAAAAAAAGAGCTGAGGCTTTTGCAATCTCGCCAAACGCAGGAAAACTAACGATTTTTTGTCTAAGCTAAGAGCGTGTTTTTTAACACATGACAAGATTTTTTAAAAACATTCGAATACTAAGTTTTCAAGTTTTCCGAATTGGGTGATCAGCAAAGTGGGAATGGCCGAATCAGCCATAAAAATTTGCTAGCTGGCAAAAATAGATAAAACTATCATTTCACATACTAAGGACGAAATTGAAATTAATTCAGTAAAAATGATTACTACAATGTGAATCAGATCATTTTTGTCACCTAAAACTGAATTGTTTGGAGAGACTTACAATAGCTGTGAAAGTCCGCTTCAACGACTGCTGCTCATAAAGAAAGATTTTTTCAGATTAAAAAACTTTGAAAAAAAATCATACAAAACTCAGAAAAAAATCATTATTCTATAGAACAATCATTTCTCACACATCGTTTCAGTTGATGTGGGATAATTTTTGAGGTATTTTTAAACTACACTGAAAATTTTTCAGCACTTTACCCTCACAGTTCCGGGATGCAAAACTTGAAAATTATGTTTCAAGAAATCTTGTAAGAAAGTATATTGCCCTTGCATTCATTTAGCAAGATTCTTGCAACATATGCTTTCCATTTGCAAGAAATAAGGTTTGTTGTCTACTATTATTTTGCTCTTACTGTTTTTGGCACTTACAGTGCTTTCGGAAAATTCTGCCAGTCGGAAGGAGATATTCAGCAAAATTTTACAGCGGAAATTGCTGGGTTATTTTTTCCCTAAATAGAGGGTAATACAAGAAAATTTGCTCAAATGATGTTTTTAAACGCAAATGGAAAATTTTTGAAATTTTTTTCAGAAGAAGTAGGATATAGCTACCGCCACTATATAGTTTCAAAAACTTAATTGTTACACTTTGAAAAGTGAAGGTCTAAGTAATCAGAATGCGGCAATATTTGGCATAAAACAACTGCAACTGCAGATTTTTGCGCAAAGTTTTTTTAGTTATAAATCATCGGCGAAATTTCTAGAGGGTTAAGGCAAGATTTTTGCAAAGTTTGACTTCTCAAAAACGATCAACGCACAAAACTAGAACTCATAGAAAATCTCGTTGATTCAGTTTTTTGGACTATATTTAGCACCAAAAAGAAAAGTTCTTTAGTAATATAAATCTTGCAAGAACCCTACAAGTTGTAGCGTGCCAGTTGCAACCGTTCGTTTCTACACAGATAATGCCTTTCAAATGGACTAGGACTCTCACCTTTGACGGATATCTGGAGGTAATTCTTGACTGGGTCTACTCCCAGAGTCTGGCAGAACTGTTCACACACCTGTGGGTCTCCAATCAGCACTATGTCCGGATTGAAGGCCATAGATAAGTTGAAAACACGCGTCCAAGAGATGATAAGAAATTCGTTTTATGAACAGAAGATTGCAATAATAAAAAAAATCAAAATTCAAGATTCAATGGTAAGGCTTCGGGTAATTTGTGACTGAGTAAGAATTAGAAAAATAACTTTATTCATTTTTGTAATTTTTTCGTTCTTATATTAGCTAACATTTTTTAAAATGGAATTTTACATGGAAATAGCATTCTAACATTTATGAAATTTAGGAAAGATAATTGGCGTAAATGTTTTAATTAGTGTTTCTTTTTGCGCACTGTTTCTCGTACCACAATTAACAGCTCTTAAAAACTGCAAACTACTAGTTAGATAATTTTTAATTTTTGAAAAAGTTGTTACTTCTTCCAGATAAATGGTGCGAAATTTTAGCACAGCATTTAAGAACTCAAGAACTTTATAACTTCATTATAACATAAGAGATACTTAAAGAGAACAAACGACCTTTAAATTTCAAACAATAAAGTTCTATATTAAAAAGAATGCTAGAAATGACATTTCAAAGATTGTTTTGTCATATTCGTTTGTAACGGAGCAAAGTTGATCTCGAAACGAAAAGATCGCGGCGCCATTTGACAATGGATTTGATGAAATTGGTCATCTTTAGCATGACCAAAATAAAATTTGGCCATAAGTTTCATTTTTAAAATCAACAAAACACTTTTTGAGAGTATTTTTTCAGTGGCATTTGTTGATGTTCTTGTCATTTTTTCACAATAGCAGATTTTTTGAGTCATTGCTATTTTGTTTTTTTTTGTGGCAATTTTTCCAAGTTCTGCAACGTATGTGGCGACTTATCTGACAAACCTGGGCTGTTTTCTTACGTTTTTTTTTAGCAAACTAGTGTTTTTTATGTATCATTGTTTTACCTTTTTTTTCAAAGACGCTTTTGTCTCATCATTGTGAAAACTGTTAATCTTACGCAACCTTTTAGCTTAATTGATTTTGAGTTTTTCAAAATCTCTCGTGCCTGGAACATATGAACTGCTTTCTTTGGTCTGACAAGTCAGCCTAGCCTCTGTTTAATTTGAAAAAATATGTTGACTGATTACAAACCTTTGATAGACAGTGAACAAATAGTTTTCATTGTTCCTCAACCAGACAGAACTTGATGAATGAATATCTTTATTAATTTGAACTCAAGGCGTTGATATTTTCAGCTTCGCGAATATAAAATTTAATTCGATTTTCATTACGAGGCCAAACTATGCACTGGATAGGCGCACAATTTAGTGTCTGTCGGTCAGTTGAATCCAGAGGCAAGTTTAATAGAGTTTCCGCGAATTCCTCGTTCAAATGCGTTAAATGGATTTTTGTTGGCACAGTAGTTTTGTCAATTATAGTGGATTATAATCCATCTATTAAAAAATTTCGGTTTGCTGTATTCAATTTTTCATAATAAGGTTAATTTTAAGTTGGTTATTTTGCTCTCTCGCTAAATTTCATTTTTTTTTCAATCGCATTTGTGAAAAATTATATAAAGTGACGTATTTTTGCAATAATTTTTCTTTGCTTTTTTTTCGCCAAATCCGCGTTCAACCTCAAACTACCCCCTCCCCAGCCGTTTACCACATCCCAACTAAACATTAAACACCCCCACTGGGACACGTAACTATGTAGTACAGGTAATCATGGGGGTTAAGGGGGGGGGGGGGGGGTTTGTGGGGTAGACCCCCTCACGTCTACCGGTACTACATAGTTACATATCCCGATGGGGGTGTTTAATGTTTAATTGGAGTGTGGTAAACGGCTGGGGAGGGGCTGGTTTGAGTTTAAACACGGATTTGGCTGAAAAACTCAAACAAATTATAACAAAAATACTTCACTTTATAAAAATTTTCATAAACGCGATTGAAAAAAATGAAATTGGGACGTGGGGGACGTGGGGGGGGGGGCGTTTTGCAGAAAGTTGCAAAAAGTAGAGTCATTGTTTACAAAACTTAACCAATTTTCAAGGATTTCATTTACAAAAAACAATCAATTAAATTGAAAACAAAAAAAGATTAAAATCAATTACAATGGAATTTAAGTTGTTTCCGTTTTTCGAAAATAATAGATTAAATTTGATTAAAAATCCATTACGTTGTCTAAATTTGCCATGATAATCGATTATATAGACAACATTTTAGTCAACAAAAATCCATTATATTCAATTATTATCTATGAAACTTCGTTGGAGGTTAGCCTTGTTCCATAAACCAAAATGGTGTTCTTTTTGTAAAATTGATTTCTTCTTAAATTTTTGGGTTGCGTTCGTACCCGAACACAAGTGACAAAGTGTTTGGTAAAATCAAAACCAGAGTCACCAAAAGTTTGACTGTCTTGCATTTACAATGCAGTGGAAACAACTTGAATTGCCCTAAAGTTGTCTTACACATATGACTTAAGTACCAGACATAAAATATAAATACCATTGATCAAATCAAGTATACATAAACAGGAAAAACAAAAAAAAATGGCGTTGGAGCAATTTCGAAAAGAATATTTTCAGAGAAATGATTGAATAATCCGACTTTTGTGTTTCCTGGACCACGTTATGCACGTAAAAATATTGGAAATTGTTTTTTCGTGCGCAATATTCACTTTGCGCATAAAAAAGTTAAAAACAATTTGGAGAGTTTCGAAAAAAAAGAAATGCGAGCAAGGCAGTTTCCATGTTTTAAAGTTGTATGTCTAGCATTTTAACCCAACCCTTTTTCTCTTTCATTATTAACGATACATCGAACTTAAACTGGGACCTCGAACTGGGAATCTGCCGCTACATGCTTCGCAATTTTAGCCAAGTTGGCGTAGAATATTTTTGCCAGTTTGGCTAAATTGGCATTTTTCGAGCATTTTATCAAAGTAGTCATTTTAAAGTTGCTGGTTCCGTTGGTATTCTTCAGGTTCTTTTATGAAAAACACCACTGATGTTTTTTGATACTTCGAAGTGGGCTTGATAAACTCCTACTGACTTTAAAGATGTCCTCGCTCTTTTTTGCTACCTGGATCAATTATATCACTTGTTTCTTGATTTGAGATGCCAAAAAGCAAAAGTTGGAAATTTATCAAATTTAAGCAAAAATTTGAGACCCTTGAAAAATGTGATATACAAAAAAACGGCGTCAGAGCAGTTTCAAAACAATAAACAGAGAGAAATGGATAAATAATCCGTGTTTCCTGGACCACGTTGTGCACATAAAAACATTGGAAAATATTTGTTCGTGTGCAATATTCACTTTGCGCATAAAAAATAGTTAAAAAATATCAGGACATACTTGAAAATAAAAACTGACGAAGTCATTTTCTATGTTGCAAATTTGTGTGACTAGCATTTTTAACCCAAACTTTTTTCGCTTTCATTAATGACGATACATCGACCTAAAAATGTGATCTCGAACTGGGAATCAGGCGCTACAGGCTTCGCAATTCTAGCCAAGTTGCCACAAAAAATTTTGTCAAGTTGACTAAACAGGCATTTTTTGAGAGTTTTATCAAAATAGTCAATTTAAAGTTGCTCGTTCCATTGGTATCCTTCGGGTACTTTTATGAAAAACTCCAATATTGTTTTTTGAAAAATTTCGAAGTTGACCTGATAAAATGTTACTGACTTTAGAGATGCCCTCGCTCTTTTTGATACCTGGATCAATTATATTACTTGGTTCTTGCTTTTAGGTGCCAAAACGCACAAATGGAAATTTATCAAACTTAAGCGAAATTTTGAGACAATTGAAAAGGCAGTCGAAACAAGTAGTCTGGTTTCCTAGATGTTTTATTCAGATTGTTTCAATTTCGGGTACCGTAAAAGTATCCGATATGGCAAACATCCGGAAAACCAAAAAGTGCTGCAAACATCCTTAAAACAGCTTTACTATGTCCAACATCCGACATAATTCAAAAGTAGGACTAAGATCTTATTACTACCATTCGTTTAACAGATGCTCTACTGTCCAATTGAAGGCGGATCGCCGCGGTGGCGCCAACGTGCTGCGAGCTTGCCAACAGAGGGTAGGACTCTATATGAACATTAAAGCCGGTTATCGCCGCTAAGTGGCGGCGCGTATAGCGCGCCCACCGGTGGCCTTAAACCGAGAGTCGGCTAAGTTGGAATCGGATAATTGAATTACGTCTTGTTTTTGAAATTCTAACGTCATAATATTACGGAAATATAATATAAGTTTGACATATCGGATATGTGTAACAGACCATTTAAATTCTGCTATCTATTTGAATCTTTCAATTCGAAATAGTAAGCTCTGACGCTCTAACACACAAAAGAATCTTTCGCATGACACCAAATCAAGCAAAACGCATATACATTCTTTCTATACATCAAATCAGTACATATACCATGTGTCGTATCAATATCGAAACCTAACTAGATATTTCCAAATCTTCATGAGCAATCATAACCTAATCAACAGAAACCATTGCGAGACAGACTATTTTGGGACATTTATCAAAAATAAGTGTTAAGTTGACTCGAAGCTTTCGGTACGTTATCCAAATTTCTCACAACTGATACTTCTTTACTTTTTTCTAATTTCACCCCTCGCCAACCACCGAACGAGTCGCCATTTAGCAATATTGTACTTAGTACTATTTGTAACAAAATTTCTCAAAAGAGTTTTCGTTGCCGTTAAATTCTAATTGAGGGGAACTTGATTGCTTTTTTTTAGTCAAACCCTTTCAAAACCTGCCAATATAATCCTAGATCCATGCCTTGTAACAAGTGATGAATAACCTTCCAAATAAAAGCGCTTAAGCACGACATCAGACGTTGAGCATATGCGGAATTTTTTCATCTAACTACGAATCCCCCTTATGCAAGAGGGGGAAATATAGTTAAAGAGATCCCTTTTTTCCATTAGGACCTCACAAAGCCGGTTATGATTAACCAAACAAAACTATTGTTGAACCATTTATTTGTCTGCTGAGATTTATAATAAAACTATTTCCACACTATGTTTTAAAATACCACCATGTTTAGCTTGGCATTGTTTACTTTTCTGTTTTCCGCTTCAACGGCGCACAATTTTTTTCCATGATATAGCTTGGTGATTTTTTTTCAACGCAATGACACGGTCTATTTTCTCGTACGTTGGAGCACATAGATGGATAAGTATACCTCTAGTTCTAAGCTAGAAAAAAAAGTCGGTCGCTTTTTCCTTTTCCCATTTTTTGCATCCTTTTACGTATTGTAAAAAGAGATTGCTTCCAATGTGCGTACGGACATATTATTTATTAGCAAAGGCAGTGGCAGAAAACGTGAACGATTTTGCGTTATATTTTTTTATACCTGCTTGGTTAAAACAAGTTGAGGTGTGCGTTACCATCAGTAATCAGACGATTTTTTTTTCTGCGGCGTATTTTTCTTAACATATCCTGAAAAAAAGGTAACGGGTAAGTCAAAGACAAACGCTTTTAAATCTATAACGTTTAATTTATTTAAAAAAAAATTTCTGGTACAGTTTTAATTGTATTAAACAACAAAAACCACAAAAATTTTATTTCAAGAGCTCAAAAAATTACTTTTGCACAAAATTTTTAAAATTTTTGCAATCCAGGAAACTATTTCACAAAAATACAATGACGCTGGTAATCAAAAATCTCCAAAATGCATTGGGTACGCCACGTTAGAAACAACAAATCACTAAAACCTGCAGAACATTATTGTCGCAGAGCTATCCATGTTTTTCCTTATTTTGCGACCAGGAGTTTAAGTCGCTGTCGCGCAGAAAAAAGCTCACGACCATTTGGACAGTTCGAGCATTTGTAAAAAGTAGCGAAAATTGGAACAGACAGAACTAATTAAAAAGAGCAATATGCCAATTTTGAGCAACTTTTGCATGCAAAATTGAAATTTTAGGTCAGTTGCTCTTTTCAAATAAATTTGTCTGTCCGAACTTTTTGCTACTAATTATATATTTAGTAGCAAAAAGTTCGGACAGACAAAATTAATTAAAAAGAGCAATTGACCTATTTTGGAAAATTTTTGCATGCAAAATCTAATTTTTCATCCGATTTTGTGTCTCAAGGTTGCATGAAAAAACAAATTGCATGCAAAAATCTGTCAAAATGGTACGATTGCTCTTTTTAATTAATTCTGTCTGTCCGAACTTTTTGCAACTCTTTATATTTCAGACAAAATTTGCATGCAAAAGCATATTTTTTCGAAAAAAACTGCATCGAGGTCACCAAAAAATAATCAAATTTGCTCGCAAAAATTGCTTAAAATTAACAGATTGCTCCTACTTATTTCATTCTGTTCCAGCATATTTCAAATTATTATATTAGCCGTACAGTATTATTTTTTGCAATTATGTGATGCCGCGGCCTAAGTCATTCTTCTCAGTCAAAATAAAACTTTTGCGCTACTTCTGCTCAAGTTTTTCTGAATGAATGATCGGCAAATGCCAAAATCATGCCTTTCCTTGAACATCATTTGAGTAGAATTCATTGAAAATCTCAAGAAAAAACTTGTTATTAGAAAATTTCTTTTAAAAAATGGCGTTTTTGGTCTTTTCTTGATTTCCAGAAATGTCTTTGGTTTTTCTTGGACTTTTTTGGCTGATCGCAATCATCGGCACTTTTTGCATTTTCAATGTTGGCAGATTTTTGGTTAAAAATTGAAACAAGGTTTGTTTTTGTCAAGTCAGATAGACCGTTGATTTTAGCGGTATAGTGGCGTACATAAATAACATTCATAGTCATGAAAACAAGCTAAATTACTTTTAAAGAACTTCGGATTCTCGTTGCAACGTGTTTGGTCGATTCGCCATTACTCAAACCGACCAAATTGCTTTCTGTATGTTTCAGATTTGAATGGTGAACCAATTGTTCTTTTACTTTACTGAAGACTGAAAGAGTATTTAAACTGTACTTTGTAATGGTCCGTCCGTGCGTGGTTCCCCTTTTACCATTAGAGAGCTAGGCCTGCCCCCTTTATATTGCAACTAAATTAAAACAGACCTAAAGTTATATTTAAAGTCTTTTCCTTAAACAAGTCCACCGTTTCTTTAAGAGTTTGAATCAAGTTTCTTCAAGTTCTTTTGATTCTGCTGTTTAACTGTATAAATTAGACCTCTTCCCTTGGGATAAATTGTCTTCGAAGGACAGAAAAAGGCCGACACCACTGAGAATTTTGCTTATTATTTCGAGTTACAGAAGTTATTCTTTTATTTGGGATATCGGATTCTAAAACGACTTTGATTTGTTTGAAATTCGCATTATAAAACCTAATAGTTTGCTTTTCCCAAACGTTATATAAAACCAGGTCCGACATATACAAATTGGTTTTGCTATTCTGGGAGTATTTTTGGCAACTTGTGACAGTGAAATTACAGTGAGATTCGAGAACCCGTTATTTTACCGCAATATATTTGTTATCCTGTTCCAATTTTACAAACCTTTAAGTATCCAGGTTTTCAAAGTGACAACATTTTGGCTTAATTTACAGATCTGGACTTAACAAACAAACTTCCTTCTTTGGACTAAACTAATTTTCCCTGACACGTCGAGGATTTCAAACTTATCTCGATTGGTAGTTATTATATAAGTTAGTACAAAGAGTTAATTTGGGTTCAGCCTGTCGTTTTATTAGTCATGAATCCGCCCTGCGCCCGGTGCTATAAATCCGTTTATCCGGTGGAAAAACTTAATATTCTGGACAAATTCTGGCACAAGACCTGCTTCAAATGTACTTCGTGTGGTACATCCTTGAACTTGAAAACCTTCAAAGGTAACAACATTCAAAGCTACTTTTTTAAACCTTTTTTTAAAAAATTAGTTCGGCTATTTGAAAATTAATTTTTCTAACGCCAAAAAATAGGTTCAGATAGGTTCACAGAGACAACAAATGATGAAGTGAAAAATGTGTGTGGGACTTAAGATGTCTTTTAATTCCGAGCTTCTTTTTAACTTTTCTTACTTCCAGACTTTTTAAAATTTATAATATTATTGCATTATTTTCGGTCCCAAAGCGTTTCCGTGTATACCAACAGGAGCTTCGCAATATTGATTATTTTGGATGCTTATTAACAATCAAAGAACCCTGAAAATGATTGAAAAAAATGAACTGTATATTATCAAGATCACTTTTTCAAAAATTCTTGGCTCTTTTTTCCTCACCTCGCAAAAGCATCAATTTTGTGGTGCAACGAGTAATTTTGCAAGGTTAAATATGAACGAACACCAAATATGGTTCTCATGGTCTAACAATTATTGTAACAATCGGACAATGTGAGCAGAAAATTCAATTATAAAAAGTTGTAGGTGGGGGGGGGGCGCAAAATATTAACAACTTTTAAAACTGAAATAAAAATTGTTGCCCAAATAGGGTTCAACAAGCAGCCCTACTGTACTGCACACTATCCAAAGCCAGAACACTCGACGATTGCAGACGACCCCGAATCAGTACGACTGCGACAACAACAACAGAATGTCAGCAACATCGAGTACCACAAAGAATTCCAAGAAAAGATCAAAGGTAATTATTTCATTAACAACGAAATAGCGGCTTTAAGTATAATCCAGTTCGATATTTCCATATTCGGGAAGCTTGGTTTTATTAGTTTTGTACGCAAAATCAGGTACCACAAAAACCATCGCTATGGGTTGAATGATATCATTTTGAAACCCTTTCAGTCGTGATTCGGACAAAATTTAAAACTTTTTAAAAATTTTTCTTGGTGTCGAAATAAAGCGGGTTAGATTTTTTCAATCTTCTTCAAGTAAAATTTCGAGCGAATAAAGCAAGCGAGCATTTTTATAATACGAAATAGAAATTTTGATCAAGAAGCGAAAACAATTTTTTAAGCACCTTTTTCAAAAAAAATCAGAATTCAAATATTTTGGTTTTTATTGTTTTCTTTCCATTTTTTGTTCAAAAAATTTTTGAACACCTTTTTTCAAGAAAAAAATCAGAAATCAAGTATTTTGGATTTTATTGTTTTTCTTTCAATTTTTTGTTCGAAAAAAGCTTGTGTCTAATATGTCTAATTTACTCTTAATATAAAAAATGCCGAATTTCTAAGTTTTTTAAGCTCCTCTTGTCGCACTACGGACAAAACACGACACAATTTGAGAAAAAAGGAAGTTTTTTAAATTTATTTTTATTTGTGTGGTACTTGCACAGTAACCGTCGATCCTTCCTCATAAATGTCAATCTAGCTGTCGTTTTATCTTTAAACTGCCAAAAAGAAACTTATCTTACTCTATATCAACAAAATTACTTAATCGCTAAAAAACTGGATTTTTTTTGTTCCCATCACTGTTTGAGGGCTATAAATGGTAAAGTTTGCGTAGTATTCACAGTTTCGAGCCTCAAAAAAGCTATAGATGTTCAAGTGCATATCGTATTCAACCCTTTCAGACGTGTTAGCAGGAGCAGAGTTTTGTCAATTTTTGAACCCAATGCACACTTCCGACAATCACTCCCCAAATAATTCCATATTTTTTCATACCACATATATCCTCTTCTCTCTGATTTTCCTGCTCACCCACCCACTCGTGTATTTGCTGTCGAAAAATGTCTAAAAATACGGTTTGTATTAAAAAAAGATGACGGATGTATCATGTTATAGCCTTTTTTATTCTTAAATTTCGATAAACAAAAGATGTTTGAAAAATTATTTTCAGTTAAGAGAAAAAACGATTGAACATTTTCTGCGGTTCTTCTGATTTTGAGCTAATTCTGGCAATTATGTAGGCTATTATAATAACGCAAAAGCTTAATTTAGCGCTTCCTTGGCTCCAAAAATTGTTCAAAACGGAATAAGTATTTCAAAATACCAAGTCTCCAATTTTCCGGCAACTTGGGAGTGTCAGCTAAAATTGCTTGGTTTCCAAACCTCCACTGGAAGTGGAGAGAAATCATGATTTTTGATATGTTCTACTTGTTTGAACGAAATGAAGTAGGGCAGATAATATTCACAATGAATCGAGCGATACATCAATTTAGAGTATTTTTCGTCCTGATTCAAACATTTTAGAAACAAACCAAAAATATTTTGTTCACTATGTCGAGAAAAACCGGCAGCAAACATTTGATATTTAGTCTAATTTCCAGCAAAAAAGGCGAGCAAACAGGCCAAAAAGAGGGCAATACAGTTTTTACCAAATGCTGAAGTGAGCATTTTTCGATATAAGTTTTTGAGCGTCTTCTTTGAATATGAGAAAAATTTTTAAAAAAATCTTCAAAACTAGAATTTTTGTTCTTTTAATTTTTAAAAAGTTGTCGTCGAATATGACTAACTCAGTTAAATAATCGAATATGCTTAAATTTTAGGATTTCAGAAGGATGCTCTCATCGCACTACGATAAAAAACGAAACATTTTTTTTTCATGAGGTCTCTTAAGGGAGATCGGATCTCTCAAAACATCGCCTTTAAACAAGCAGTCTGATTAAAAATTTATTTGTAAATTTTTGAAGATTTTTTATCTAATTCAAATTAAGACTGAAAGGGTTTCATTGTAATATATCATTTGACCCGTTCCGATGATGTTTTGTGTTCCCTAAATTTGCGTGGATAACAAAAAAAAGAAAAACCAGCAAAAAAGTTCCAAAAAGTTCCATGGAAAAAACTCTTTTTTTAAGCAAGTTGTTTTTTCTTTCCGCTTAATACGATGAAAAAAACTAGAAAAAGGCTTAAAAGATTTCAAAATTTTGCAGAAGAAGTTTTTATACATTAAAAAACAACTTCTTTCAGCCAAGGAAGCGTTAAAAAATGGAGACTTTAAGACAGATTTTTTGAGAAAAATCTTGCTGATTCACGGCTTAGATAAAGTTTTTCCGATGAAACTAAAACATATTTTCTTGCTTTAACCGCTCAATGCTAAAACTGCTAAAACACTCAATTTTTTTTCTCTGGACTCAGTCTTATGAATAAATGTGGTACACAATTTTGCATGAAAAAAGTCAAAATTTACTTTTAAAAGCCCTGTGGCCAGGAAAGTTTTAGCATGCCAAAGAATGAAAAACAATGAAATTGACAAAGAGTGAAATTTTAGCATGCTTTTTCCCCTTTGGGATTCGACCTCCTGTTGACCCAAAGGATCCACCCCTTTGGTAATTTTTTAGAAATCTCTTTTTGGATGAACAAAACTAAAATTTTTCTCAAAATGACTTTGGCGCCAGTATGGTACTAATTTTTCAGTGGAACGCGCGACAAAGAAACGCAATTTTTGTAGTGTCAACTTTTCAAAAAGTGCTCATAAATTGCCTGCGGCGCAAAATTTTTTGTCAAAACATGCTCTGCTAGTGTTCTGGGAACGCTTGGACACTCAGTTTGGTCGATTTAAAAAAAAATGTCGACAAACTTTCCATTTAAAAAAAAAATCTGCACCCGCCCCCTCGATAAAATTCTAGATCCGCCCCTGAACATAATCCGTTTTAAATTATTTAAAATCGATGATTTTTCACTTTTATTGACACTGACAATATAACTCAGTTTTTATCGGATTTTATACATGGAATTCCAGTGAAGGTAGTTAAGACCAACATAATTAGGTTAGAGGCGTATTGGGGGGGGGGGGGGGGACGCCTCCTAACGGTTCCAATCCGTCATCATCCAAAGAGTTCACTTTTCGGTACTTTTGTAAGTTATCGATTATCTAAAAAAACTTATGTTCCAATTACACTTCGGTACAAACTTAATTCGGAAAACTTAATTTTTCCAAACTTTACACCTGGTATCAGTATATAACCTGCATGATCCGAATTTTGAGCAAAGTAGACTTGTTCAAGACATGCCTAGATACAGTGATTTATAGTCTGTTCTAAATTATTGGTAATCCCAGTGACCTTGAGCTTTAAGTAGACTTCTTGGCACATTTTATTACGAGCTGAAACAGTGGAAAATTGATATCTGACATTAAATGAGTAATCTAAGGTTAAAAAGAGGTGATTTTGTTTTAAATGGCTAGGCCTACAAAAATAGTGCCAACAGTTTGGATTGAACAATTCAAACACTAAACTGAAGCATTTCTAACCGAATAAAATCATCAAAGTAAAAATGCATTGGCCGCCGCGCCGCCAGGGCAAGATAACAGTTCAATTCAAAAATAGTGGCGACACTGCCAACAGCCCAACACGTATCAGCCTGCTTGCCTTCATGATTATCGTTTTGCTCAAGGACTTTTTTTCTCTTTGAACAGCCTACTCTTTGGCTTTAACAAAGGTTTCTTTTTACCTTTTACAGATATAACAGTTGTTTGTTCTTCAAAACAACAGTTCTTTTTCTTGTTTTGATTGTTCTACTTCATATTTTTGTGTTAGGTCAGTACAGGCCAGTAACTGATGATCCAGAGACCATGCGACTGAAGAAGAACACAGAAAACCAGAGCTCTGTGGCCTACCGAACCGACCCATCCACAATGAATTACACTCCAGTTAGCGGTGAAGATCCCGAAATGCAACGACTCAAAAAGAACTCTGAGATCCAAAGCAGCGTCAAGTACCGAGGCGTCGGAACCTCCGAGAACCCTCCTTACGACGAACGACAAATACCGAGTCCTTTCCATTCCAAACATGGTAAAAATAACACCTCAGCGAGTTCAAATTCAACCAATCAGCATCAGTTTAAGCCAAACCCAGCAGGTGTGTCGGCTAACGAGAGAGCCTCGTTTGTGAACGCTTTGGACTCCCAACAAGCAATGATGAAACAACAGGTTTTGATGCAAGAACAACAGCGGAGAATGCAAATTGAACAACAACAAAAACAGATCGAAGAACAACAACGACTTCAAGCCGAAAGTCGACGAAAAGACGAACTGGAGTTGCAGAAACAACAAAACTTCGAGCGACAGCAAGCTGAAATAATGGAAAAACAGAGAGTCGAAAGGCTCGAACAGGAAAAGCGTCGCCGAGCTGAAGAAGAAGAAAGACAGCGACAATATGCCGAACAAGAACGAAGCCGACAGCTGCAGCAAGCCGAAAACCGACGACGAAAGGAGGAAGAGGAACGCCGACTTGCTGCCGAACGTGAAGAGCAATTGCGATTTGAAACCGAACAGAAACTGAGACTCAATGACCCGCACGTGCCTGTCAACAATCTCAACAGCGCAACTCAAGCTGTGAACGGAAATAACCACCAGCCACAAGAGCCCGCGTACAGAGCCGAGTATGATTATTTTCCAGATGCGAGCGACCCCGAAGCTGCAGACGAGCTTATGTTCGAAGAAGGAGATATTATCGTCGGATTGGTCAAAATTGACGACGGATGGAGCACGGGAACCAATCAGCGAACGGGACAGAGCGGAATGCTACCATCCAATTACATTACCCAAATTCAATGACGTCATGATGTTTTCGACCAATCACATCTCACGAACTAAAACAATGGCTTCATCAGATATTTTTGAGCGTTTTCCGTCTTTGAAGGATGAAATAAGTTTTCTCGTTAGGTTTTGTGCTGTTAAAGCTTGAAGCATATCAAGACACTGTTTGATCAAATTTACCCAGATGATAACTTATTACGCGCATTAATATATTGTAATTTTCCAATTCAATAAATCAGGTTCACCGCATTTTTGCTTGAATTAAATTTTCATTTGTAGTTTTTTTTCTACAATAAAACAAAAATGGAAACTTTACCATAAAGGACAAACTTTGTAGAGCCTGAAAAAAAATTTGTCGCTGAATTTTATTTATCTGGCCACACGGTCAAAATTTTTTGAAGGCTTAAGTGCAGTGCATTATCTCTGTCAAAGCTGGCGGTTCAAAAGTGAGTTAACTCTGCCTAACTACAATATTTTAAATAATTTATTTTGATTGATCCTAAAAGTGATTTGGACACTCAATCGAGTTCAAAATAGAAGAATGTAGTTTCCATCAGTGACAGCTAGGCTAATTTTGTCCATTTGATCTTGTTACTTATATCCACTCCAACAAGTGCTAAGATTTTAGAAACCGGATATTGTGACTAACTTGTTCTGTCGAAACAGAGTCGACTTCTACACTCGAGGTTAATGGTGATTCAGCATGAAAAACTATCGCGAAGGCGTCGGTGAGTACAATTCAGGGTATGAAGCTATCACTGAATTCGAAGCTGCTCGAGTATGACATTTATCCCAATGTTATCACAAATAACAGATTGTCAGAATTTGGTTTGTCTTAGGTTTTTTAGGAAGAGATAGAAAAATTTTCTCTAGAGTTTTGAATTATGTATGGATTACATTACTTATAGATTAATTTCAGATAAAGTACACGGCCTGCTCGTCACGCTATCTTATTTGCGGCCGGATAGATTCGTGCAACCTCTTAGCCTAATATAATACCGATCTTGGTCTTACTCTTATATCTCCTAGTCTCAATAGATCTGGTGTATACTGGTTTATGCGAGTTATTTCTTGGAGTTTATCCAGAAGGACAACAACTGTATTATAAGTTTTATTGAAATTGTTCTGGTGCTGAAACTACAAGTAGTTTCAGCACTTACAAATAAGTGTAAAGGTTAGAGATGGAATATGATTGGTTAGATATAAATATTTTATAGTGATATTCCATCATAAATATAATTGGTCTATAAATACTAAAATACTAGTTTAGAACTGGTTCCACCCATCCGGGGTTTAGAGAGTTTTTATTTTTTGTTGTTTTGATGTAGTGAAGGACGGGTGATGTAGGTTTTTTTGGAAGTTGCGAGCATTGGCTTCTTGGAGGAAGAAGAAGTGTGGCTGTTGGTGCTTGACGGGTGAAGATTATCATGTTCGTATCTGTAGATGGGTCTCGTTGATCATGGCAGTCTTGGGTGATTGCTTCAAGACTTCTGATCGATGCAATGATGTATCGATTTCGTTAAGTTTGGAGCGAGACCACGTGCAGTGTGAAAGTTGAGTTTTCGGTGTGAAGTGCCAAGTGACTAGGATCTGTACGTGTAGTCAACATCGAGATGGCCATTGGTCTGTTTCAATGGTTTTCCTTTGCTGCGATGTTGGGTTCATACTTTAAATTCTTTGAGGTCGTGACTTTAGGCAGCAATTCAAATAGATTTGCCATTCTTAAGTTGGAATGTGATTGGATTGTCGTCTCCTTTGCTGCTGGTCTTTTGGCTTAACGAAATCTATACATACTGCATTTGCAACTTCTTTGTTAATTTTTGTTTTAGTTCTGATTTGTTATTAATAGTTATCGCAAAAGCGTTTTTCTGTTATTTTGGTTATTTTTAAAGAGTCGCTCACCCTAGAGGCAAAAATAGAGTGTGGGTCACAAAGCGTGATGTAGCTCGGTGGGTTAGGCCGACTATATAGCATGCTCAGGACGTCCTTTTGGTTGGTGAGGTCAGGAGTGGGGTATAAATTTGAGGTCTCTTTGTGTAGAGTCTCTTTTTGTGTTCAACCTTTTGTTTCGTTTTTATTACCTGTTTTTTTCTCTTTTTTTTCTGGTTGTCCTTTTCCAAAAATCGAATCTTTTGGTTTGGTTTTGTCTTTGGACTTTTTTGTGTTTTATTTGATTGTGGTAAGACTTGAAAGTGGTCTTCAAAAGTACAATATATCTAGCTTTAATCTGCTTTTAATCTGGTTTTGGTACCGTGAGCTTTTCTTTCTTAGTCAAGCTAATAGGTTGTGGTTTTGTGACGTTATTAAGCTGCGTTGGTTATTGTAGCTTACTATATAATTCTTTCCAACGTGATTAATGGAAAATTTGAATAGTGTGAAAACTGGTTACAGTTGTAATCAGTGAAAGATACAACTTAAAATTCATTATTTAAACAATTTTTTGTGGTCGAGTTGTGCGATTGTGGAAAGAACTTATGGGCGAGTGAATGATTCAAATCTTATAAAAGAAGCGTCGTGTAGAAAGGTTAGTACTTATCTGAATTTATCTTCAATTTTTTATGAGTTTACTGCGTTGAAATATTAATTTAACTGCTTTTTTGGAATTTTAATTTATTAATTTACTGCTCGGTAAAAAAAAATAATTGTTGCTTTGGGGATTATTTATTAATTTACTGTCATTTGGGAGAAATTTACTGCTCTTTAATTATACCCCGATTTGTTAATACGAGTTTAGGATTTTTAATGAGGAAGTTTTCAATTGTTTATTTGTTTTTTTTTGTTTTAGATGATGTTGTGATGAGATCTAAAAAGAAAGTGAAACCTTTATAAAAAATGGTTAGTTGTGTTTTGAATTTTTAGTGTAAGATATATATTTATACGTACTTAATCATCAGCAAAAAACAGATTTGGGAAATTATCTTGAATGAGATTTGATGTTGTTAGAAGTTTAGCAGTTTAGAAGTTAGTGATATAATTAGTTTGCAGTAGTGGCCAAAGTAATTCAAGTGCTTTGATGATCTCGTGCTCTTATTACTTGCTGAGAATTCATGCGGTGTATTTTGAACTAGATTAAAAAGCTTATGATTAATTTTAATGTTATGAATGTATTCTGGGATTGAGACTTCAACGGGCTGTATATATTCGTGAGGGACAATTAGTGGACGGGATTCATCAACATTAAAAGTTCTTGTTAGTGGGCAGAATATATACATTTGTCCGATAGGGTCGTAGTTTCTAACGATTCCTTGCATGTTAGTGTCTTTGATACAATATGTGAAGTTTAAGAAGAATCTTGAAGTATATTTGGAGTTATTAAATTGAAATCGATGGTGTGGGTTTAGTGATGGTGTAGTTGTGTAATTGTGTTGTATGAATTTAAAATAAGTGTATGTGTGAGTTTGTTTTGTGCGTAACTTTATTTGATGAGAACAGTGTAGGTCACGTTCTTTTGGTGTTAGTAAATTGAAAGTTAATGAAAAATTGTTAAATTTACTGAAATAAGAGTGGTAGGTTTTTGTGTCGCGAAGTGCTGCGGATAAAATGTGATCATATTTATTTTTCATGCAGTTGATAGTAAATACATATGAAGATTTGATGAAAAAATTCTCAGTTAGTTGGGTGTTAGCGTTAGTATCGTCAAGTGAAAAGATATCTTCATAGGGTCCTGCAATGGCATGATCATAATGGTTAATGGAAAATCTCTTAGCTTTTTGTGCAGTGAATCTAGTTAGTGTTTGGTTTAATCCGATGGTTGTGAACTGTTTTTCGTGAAGTGCTGTAGTTAGGTGATTTAGCCCAGTTTGACATAATTCATTGTCATCTGGATTAATATATAGTAGGAGTGATAGTGGGTTACTGAAATGGTAGTACGAGGTCCATAAAAGTTTGGGAAATAATGCGATTTCATTAACGTAATTTGGTTGTTCATTATTAGGATTTGAGTGACAGTAACTATATTGTGGAAAAAATGGTAAGCATACTTGGAGAAATTCTTTTGTGTTAGTATGAAGTGGATGATCCATAAAAGTTTGAGCTGGTCGAGGGTTAGAAGGGAATGGAGTATTGGGGAGTTTCCGTTTAATTACTCGGGGGGGGGGGGGGGGGCTAGAATGGTCAGGTGGATCGCTGGTCATTGGGGAGTAGATTGGGGTTGCATCAGTGTAGGAGGAAGGGGCTGAGGAAGGTTCATCGGGGATTTGAGTATGGAGAGGTTGAAAAGGGGGTTGAGAAAAAGTGGATGGGCTCGGTTCGGAGTCTGCAAATTCATCGGGGGTTTCAAAATCAGAGTTGTTAAATTGTGAAATGGTGTGAAAAACTGTGTTCGTTGAAGTGTTGTCTTAATCAATGCTTGGTGAAATAATAGTATATGATGGTTCAGGGTAGGGAGGAAAATCGAAAATTGGTGAGATCTGGGAGTGACGTTGGAGGTTGGATGGGGATGAAAGGGAGCGGTTGAGGGATACAATCTGGCGGCTCAACGTGGGCTAAAAAGATGGTTGTTCTGAGAACGGAAATTAGTGGTATGTGGCTGTTCTATAATCTGTTCATACGTCTCGTCTACATTTGGTTGTTGTGCTAAAATGTGGGTAACTGGACTTTGTGGGTATCTATGAGTTGTAGAGATGTGCTCTGTTAGGGATATGTTTCTGTAATTTTGTGGTACTAAAGATAACGGATGGTTAGTTTGCAATGTATGTAATTGTGGTGCAGTAGGCGTCGTGTTTCTAGTGTCTTGTGAATTATCATATGTATTGGGTGTGGTTGATAGTTTTTTTTGTATTTACTTATTTGAGCGTCCAAAAGTATTTTGTTAATTGAGGTTGAAAATATTTCGAAAAGTCCTGCGAAAAGTATGCCTGCTACACTTGCTGGTTTGTTTACTTGTGTGAGTATTGCGCATGTATTCTAAATTCCTTTCAAAAATGAAAAGAGAAATCCAAAAAAAAACATTGCATATATTATTGTCATTCTTACTAATATGTATAAGGGCCATTCTAGAAAGGCGAATAGTTCATTTTTTAAATTTACAAAACTAAAAATAATTGTCGGAAATATATCTTGTGGTCTGTATTTTTCGCCATTTAAATAAATGTAATTTTTTATATCTTTAAAATATCCGCTGTAGTCTTGTGTGTATATGTCTGAAAAACCTGCGGTTTCTGCAAGTTTTCCTAAATTTTGGTCGATAGATTGTCTTTGTGTTGTGTCCATCTTTGTGAGGAGATCTTGAATTTGTTGTGTGCGGGTGTGATTTTGTATATCTGATCTGGAGTATATA